TGTTCAACCCTTGACCACGTGACTGACCCTACTTGTATTTGTTGACCCAAAGTGACCGAAAGCCTTAACCGCCCACAAGCCAAATCTAACACCCTCTTTCGAAAAGGTTACTTGTAGTACGTTACACGAGGTTTAGAATTTTGGAGCGACAGAGTCGCAAACTTCCGAACCCAACAGAATTCATTTTAATTTTTTATTTTGAAAATTTATCATGATGATATGATGACCATGTTACGTCAATCAATTACATTCATTGTAGTATCAAATTTAAAATCAGCTTGATATTGTGATGCACTAATTCAGCGCGTCTGTCGCTAATCAAAGTCGACTTCGTGTAATGGTCGGACGGCTTTCGGCGAAAAAAGTGTGTAGATTTGGCGAGCGAGTTCGATTCAGGTCTAGTTATCCAAGATATTCTATACTATGTCATAATAATGATAGTGGAGAATTTTGAAAATTCTAGATTTTCTATCAATTATATATTCGATCAGTTATATCTATTTGTATTTGGAAATTTGTATAATTCTCTTAGAATCAAAAATCGTCTAATTTCCCCGATTTTACATTACACGAGTAACCAATTAGCCGTTGAGTAAGAGAATAAAATGTTGTGTATTAGATTAGATTTTGCATTAAAATAAACTATATGATAAAACATTTATAAGTGGATTACATTGCATTAAACTTAAACACATAGCTTGACTTAAGCATCTTGTAATATACATGCTGCTTAAAATTACAGCAATATATAGTATTGAGTATTAAATTGCAATTTATACGTAATTTTTGTCTATTACTAGAAATGGCTATACACAGTGTATGCGAAACAATTAGGTATCTTATACTATAACGTTATAAAAATACTGTACTATTTACATAATCTTAATGTATCAATAATTGAAAGATAGGCTAGTACTGGCTTTTAGAACAGAATTATGAGCCAAACATGTATTGGAGATTCAATAATCGATACTAGCGACACGGGCGAAACGGCGAGTCAGTCGCTTGACAAATGGATACGTCGTGTAACCTACGAACGGCTTAGTCGATAAGAGGCGGTTAGATTTGGAGAGTGGTGTGTTTATGATCGTAGGTTTTATAATACAATGTCACGAAAGCAGGAAAGTATTTGGGTCAAAATGTATTGCAAGCACGAAAAAACTACTCATCAGGTAGGGCTAGAAACCTTTATTATATATTGTTATATTACTTATGCGCTCCTACAGCTATTAAACATATTAAACTTATTATTTAACGTATGTACTTTTAATGTCCTATATTACTTAAATCCCCTAAATATAATATATCCCTTTTCTTATAGTTTTCCCTTATTACCACTATTACCCTTATGATTGCTAAACGACTTTTACGACCGATAATCCCGGGAAACCCATTTTAGGTAGATGATCGACATAGCCGTTAATTGCGTTACTGCGCCACATCGATCATCCCTGCCACGTGTAGGGGTGGGTCCGGTCGGTTATCGGTCGGTTATTGGCGGTCATTGACTCATAACCGACCGACCGCAGTTATTGACCGGTCCAATAATCCAAGTTTTAATCAGATCAGATCCAGTATTGATATGCAGTATGATGATATAACAATTACTATATATATATTATGTAGCTGATACGTAATCAAATATAAGCCACAAAGATGACGTGTCGGTTTTTTTGATGGTTACGCTGGGAAGTCCAGTATGATGGTTATTATTGTGGCTGTGTTATTGATAAATTATAAAGTGAAACATAAGATAAAACAGAATACCATGATGCAAAATAAAGTTATTCATATGTGATCTTCAAGATTACTAGCTTATCCTTAAACATCTTTCGTTGCACTTTTAATTAATGCGTATTATCTTAATTAACATCAAGAAAAAATAATTAAACTTATTATTTTCAAATCGCTTATTATTGCGTAATATAATAACAAACATTGTAATGAATCAATTAACATCGCTAAAATAGTATCGGTCAGGATTTTAACCGGTCGGTCACAAACCTTTGACCGACCGATATCGGTTACGGTTATGACCGGTCATTGACCGGTCATAACCGTAACCGACCCACCCCTATCCTGGAGTAAGAAAGGTAACAAGAACAAGAGCAAGAGCAAATATTGCGCTTCAAAAAAGAACCCAGTGATTTGTTAAAGAACACATTTTTGTTTAGAATTGCTTTGTTTAGATTGTTTGGAATTTTATATTTGTTTGAACACAACCTTCTACCAAGGCCAAACCCAGCTCTATTCATAATGTTCTTTGGCTGCGCAGTAGTGTTGAGATAGCGAGTACTTGAACCTTTAACTACTTAAAAAAGTAGTTGGTGGCAGGTAGTTTATCTTCAAGAGACTGGACTGGCAAACCCCAACAATGCTGATCAATGATCAAGTTTTAATGCTGAGGTACTGGGTTATTTTTTGTAGATTATTATTGTTCATCATAGGAAAACATTCGCATAATTGGTTGATTTTTGTATATCTACCCCTGATTTCCCGTGATAATTAACCAATCAAGTTACATAATTTTTAATTAATATTACAGTACTAAAAACGAAAAAAACTTCGTATAAAGAAGTTTACAGACAATGATGTGTGTAAAGTGGGTAAATGTAATATTTATTGTTAATAAACCCAACTCATCACATTAAAGAATAAAACCCAAACACACTACAATAATAGACCAAATTTAAAATAGTTTTAGACGAAAACGTTTTCACTATACAGTATAATTTTGTCTGGTCTAATAAACGGTAGGCATATATTGTCTTCTAAGTAAAGTTCATGGTAATACTGATTATTTTTGCATAGTAAATACGTATAGACGTTTTATCGAAGCGAAAAATGGGTTTTGCGGTGATTTTTTATTGATGAAACGTTGTGTTCCCAAAAAGTACTTTAAAGTATATAAATAAGTTACCCGGGCAATTGATTTACATCAGCCAATCAGACGAATGTCCTCCTATGAGTTCAGACACCCGAGTTATCATAACGTTAAGGTTTTAGAATAAAAATCTATTGACGAAAATTGCATTATGCACATCACGTAATTTTCGAAAATTTATCACGGGACCCAAATTAAGATTAGATTATCCGGATCGCGTTAGCAGTTAACATATTACCGTTACATAAATCGCGACTTTACGTGATATCAAAATATTATGTCTTCGCTTATACTTAGTCACAAAGAACGTGCAGAAGGACCGTGGGTTAAACTACAATCAGAACCAAGTAAATACATGTAATTTGTTAACTAATCGCGTTTATACAGTAGAGAAGTTACACTTAAATATATTTGTTATTTATTTGTTATAAGCACTTTTTACCTCTTTGATGTATAGCTTGGGGGTTAAAGGAGCTAAGGCAACTGAAGTATTTGTTCTTGACCAACAAGATAATTTCGATGACCTCGGGTAAGTATAATAATTTAATCGCAATTTCGTCTTTACTATTCAATTAACGCGTTATTTTTATTCCAGGGAAATATATGGATTAGTCTTTCTTTTTAAGATGATAGGTGATGTGTCAGGTGACGTAAAAGGTTTGCATAGAGATGTTAAGTATGAACCTATCAACGAACTTCCAAAGAATGTATACTTTGCAAATCAAGTAAAGTTCTTATCACCGTATTTTTTTTTTTTATTCAAATTGCTATATCACGAGATTATGCATAACACAATATTAATATTAGGTTGTGGAAAATGCATGCGCAACATTGGCAGTGTTGAATATCGTATTGAATTGTCCACGACTGGAAATCGGTCAAGAACTAAAGGAATTTAAAGAATTCACATGGGAGCTTCCACCAGCCGCAAGTGAAACATTTTAATGAATATGTTTTTATATAATTGGAAACCAAATTTTAAATGATTTCTCAATATTTTTAGACGCGTGGATTTGCAATCACAAATCACCCAAATTTTCGTCAAATTCACAATTCGATGTCAAGGCGAGTGATGTTTTATATAAGTGGTTCGTAATAGACTTCGATAATTAACTCATTACGTACACATATATACTAATTTTAATAAGACATCCTGAGGAAGCATTGGTCGTTGAAGAAGTGGTGATCACGAAAAAGGGAAGAGGGAAGAAAATCATTGATGAGGCCGTCGGTGAAGCATATCATTATATTGCTTATGTTCCTGTAGATGGAGAAGCATGGCAGTTAGATGGTTTATACCCGCATCCTGTTAGTTTAGGTGCGAATACCTATATGAAATACATTTTTATAGTATTATTGTTTGTTTTTTTTGATGTTATTCTGTGATTGTTTCATGTCAGGAAAGTATTCGAATGAAAAAAAATGGTACGAAGCAGCTCGTGGTGCGATCAATGAACGTATTAATGGGTAAGCACATTAAGTTTATTGTGTCTTAATTTAAAATATTAAATATTGATTATATTTTACAGATTTTTTGTGGAACAGATAGAATATGTTCTTCTAGCTATAACTAAAGATGAATTAGGTACCCATCAAGACAGAATCAAAGATTGTATGTACGTCAAAAGACTTGCAGAAAATAAATTAGATAAGCTCAATAGTTCTTGGAGAGAAGATGGCATTAAGGACGTGGGTATTGTTTATTTTATAAAGTTTTAACTGTCATTATCTTAATAACTTATTTACAATTTCTCTATAGATCGATCTGCCTTTCACCAAAGATGATGAAACAAGCATCATAAGTAGAGGAAATTATGTAACTGACTTCGAAAATTTGACGTCGTTTTACGATGACATTGAAAGGATCAAAGAATTACGAACAAAGATGATTAATACAATTCAATCTTTGCTTGAAGAAGTTGATATAGAAAAAAAGCGGAAAGAAGTAGTTTATCTAATTCTGTAAAAATAATTTTAATCTTTATTTCGTCAATATTCTTGTTAATATTACTACATTTTTTAGGTTGCAAAAGAACGAAGAACATTTGACTATGGTCCATTTTTTCGTGAGTTTATTTCAATCCTCCACGAGCGAGGCGAATTAAAAAAATTACTTGATGCAGCAGAGGATATGGACGAGAGGGATGAATATGTATAAAACTTTTTTTATTGATTATACATTAATTTGTTTTTTTGCCTTTTAATAAAGCTTAAATCCGTATTGGATTTCACAGACTTAATTAAATTTTTATATTTGCGAGATTATTTTATCATTCATTTTTATTTTATATTAAGGTGAGCTTGTTGTCTATGTTGTACATTTTGACTGTTTCAAGCCTTTTTTGCTTTATCCCAAATTTTAACTTATAAAGTATATTAAAAAGACAATTATACAAATACTGTATATAAAATTTAAGAAGGCTAGTATTGATATTTTTTAGTAAAAACAAAAATTTTTAATATTTTGAGTAAAGATATTTTGACAATTATTTAATAAAATTTTTTATTTAAATTTTATGAATTTATAAAATTCAAACAAAAAAATATTGAATTTGTTAGGTGGTTGTTGAGATATTTTTATTTAAAAGTTAAAGAAAACTTAAAATATTTATTAAAATAAAAGTTGTATTAATTTTTTAAAAATATTTTAATATTTAAATTGATGTAGTTTTTATTTGATTCTTATAGATTTATAAAATTTAAATAATTATTAAAGTTGATTAGATAATTATTAAGATATTTTTATTTAAAATTTTTAAAAAATGGTAGTTTTTATTTTGAATTTGTTTTTTAATTTTAACAGTTTTGTTTTACTTTTTTAAGTATTTAATATATATTTTTGTATGCAATTTAGTTTAAATTTTGGTATAATATAGAGGTATAATGATCTAATAAAATAAACAAGTTGTCAACTTTTAAGTAGTAGGTTTAAGGTTCAAATTTTACAAATAATAAATTTTGTAAATTATATTTGTGTTATAGTAACTGTTACTTGTTAATTAGTTGGATTTAGGCATTTGTAATCTTAGATACATCAAGTCAAATTCTATCTAATATTGAAAACTTAGAATATTTCTATAAAGTTAATATTATATATATAGAGAAATATAAAAAACCAATATAATATAAGATTTTAGTGTAAATTTACAATAAGATTATTAGACATAAGAGACTAAAAAACTAAGAAGATAAAAACTCATTTGAAAATTTTGAATAAAAAGTAATACAAACTTTCAATGATGTTATTGAACTGATAAAAAATTATAAAACACATTTAAAGAGAAAACTGAAATAAACATAATAACAAGATACATAGAAAAATATATAACTAATTAGGTTATCAAAATTATTAGAAAAAAAAAATATACAGTATAAGTATATTATACTAGGTTATCTGAATTGATAACCTGAAAAGTTCTGTCAGTTCTAAGTAGCAGTTAGTAGAAAATAATAAAAAAGATATCAGAAAGATAAATATTGAAATTTAGATAAATTTTATAAAAATATAATAATTTAATAATTAGTTCTGACTATAAGTGCTAGTTTAAGTCAAAGTAGTAGTAAATATAGGATACAAAAGATTCTGATAAGTTTAGTAAAAAATTTTTTTTTTGTATTAAAGATTATACTTCGTAACAATACTTTATTTACTTTTATTAGATTAGTTATTACAATTATTTTTATAAAGATAAAAGTATAATAGTTATATATGCAACTTTTAGTTGTCTATTTAAGTAGTCTGCCTTAAGGTTCTACACTAGATGTTATATTTATAATCTACTAGAAGATTATTTATTTAAATACTCTAATTATTTGCTCTATCATAATGTAACCCCAACTAATCCTTTGTATATACCTAATCAGTATACTGTCTGAACAGTATAGTAACTACCTTTTTTGTACTAGTTTCTAGGTTATTACACATTTCAAAGTACATTACTGCCAATAAGATAAACTATGATGCTTTGTACAGCTGTAAAAGCTAAGCATATAGTAATTGACTCTGTAGAAGACAATTTTGAAAGATCATTTATAACATCTTTAATCTTCTATGATCTTTATATATATTTTAACAAATTCTTTTTTCATTACAATTTACTACTTTTTTCTTATAGTCAAACTATTCAAACTTTAATTCAACATATTGATAAATATAATAACAACAAAACAGTATCCTGTATTATATTTTCTGTTAACTCATCTTATAATGAAACTCATATATATCTTTCTAATAACACTCTTCTATCAGATTATATTGTTATTACTTTATATTTTCTTCAATATTCTATAATCTTCTTCTCAAATTTAACTTCTTTAATTCTACTTCTATTTCATCTAATTTATTTTTTGATAACTATTTCTCAACCTCTAATCATAATTCTTCCTCATTATCATCAAATTCAACTCTACATCATCTTAATCTAACTATTGCTATACACAATGTTAAAGGCTTTAATAAACCTACTAAGAAAGAAGCATGACAGAATTATTGTCTCAATCATAACATATCCATTGCAAGCATTACAAAAACAAAAATCTCTAACAAATCTAACCTCTTTTTTTGCAACAATAACTTCTTTACTTATTATTGGTCTAACTCTTCTACCTCTATGGAAGGCACTGCTATTATGATTTACAACCATCTCAAACCTCATATTTACAGTGTTCATACTTATTCTAAAAATGCTATACTACTTGATATTTTCTTTAGAAGTAATATCAAGCTTCACATTGTTTCAATATACCTGTTATCAACTGATACTTCTATCTGCAACCAAACCCAAAATAAAGTAATTAACTGGATCCAACAAGCCTCTCAACTTCATATTATCCTATTATTCTTGGTGACTTCAATATACAGAACAATACTCACAACTTCTTTTCTAAATACAAACTTATTAACTTTCTTAATAATTTTAATATATATGATATTAGAGTTTACTTTAACAACAAACACTTTATTTAGTCTAACAATACTAGCAGTAGTCATATCAACTGCATCTGAACTGATCAATTTAATATACAATTTCTTTCTTACAGTTTTAACAACAGTCAAACTTCTATCTCTAGTAATTATCTAATTCTTTCCTCTATCTGGACATTTTTACATACTTATAACAAACCCTTATATAAACATACTGAAATTAACCACTGTATTTTCAACTACAAAGTTATATCTACAGAAAACTAGGAATCTTTTGCAGATATCTTATCTCAACAACTTCTATTACACAAAACTTCTACCAACAATGAAACTTATGAGGGTATTGAAACTACTTGGCACAAAATTCAATGCTCTATTATTTATTCTGCTACTCATACTATTTCTAACAAAGTCTCTCACAAACATAGCTACAACTATCAATACTTATCTTACAGTACTCTATTACACCTATCTCTCAAAAAACTTGATCATATTATTAAACTTGTTAAAAAACTTATTCAACATTCTAATACCTCCTATATTAATCAAAACATCTTACTAATTAACAAACAGTCACAATGTGACCTTCAATTACTTACCTCTACTAATTTAACCTTTATTCAAACTTGGCTTCAACATGCTCACTCAATTTGAAAACAACTTTTTTATACTCACCATCTTGAAAACTCTCTTTTACTTTGACAACAAATTAATCAAGCTACTGACAAAAGATGTGTTAACCTTACAACATATCCTACTTAGGCTATCAACAGCATTCTTAATTGTTACTACCAATCTGTTCACTTCACTAATATAAAATATTCTTAAGAGCTTATTACTGACCCACTAATTATTAAACAATATATTCAATTTCACTTTCAAAACTGAACTGCACACAAACCTATTAATCAAACTCTCTTTAATAATTTCTAGCAACACTACCTTTCACTTTCTCACATTAATCCAATTTGGTATTATTTTCTTAATTTCTCTATTACTACTGATGAACTTCTAAAAACTCTCTTTCAACTATCTAATAACAAAGTCTGTAGTCCTATAGACATTAGTATGAAATATTTAAATATATTAGTCCTCAATGCACTTCTGCTATTATTGCTTTTTTTAATCATTGCCTTTTTGAAAACATAATTCCCAAGCAATAGAAACATAGCTACATTTATTCTATCCCTAAATGAAACACCTTTTATGATGACCTTAACCTTACTCAACCTATTAGCCTTGTTGAACATATTCACAAGCTCTATATCAAAATTCTTACCAATCGACTTAGCTTTATATTTTCAACCCATTCAATTTTCTCACTTTTTAATTATGTTGCTCTCCTCAACAACAGTACTTTAATTCTTATCCATATTCTTAACAACCTTATTGAAGATGCTTCTTGCAATTATAAAGACATTTAGTTACTCTTATAAGATATGAATAAAGCCTATAACTCTGTCAACTTTACACTTTTTAAACATGTACTTTCTCACCTTTTACTTTTTTCATCTACTAACATTCTCTCTAACCTTCTCACCAATTATCATAATTAAGTTATAACTAATCATGACTTAATTTTATTCTATTCAGTTAACAATAGTATTGACCAAGATGAAACTATTATTTCTTTGTTATGACATATCTATTATGATTCACTTATCTTTTATATATACTCAAACACTTCTAGTTACAAATTACAATTCTTTTGAACAACTAACCTCAAACTTCAAACATCCAACTTATTACAAAAAAAATGCTCTATCTTGGCTTAAATAAATGATACTCTTTGGATTGCTTTATCACAATCTGAACTATTATACATATTATCTATAGCTAAATCCTTTTATGTTATAACCAATATTCAAGTCAACCTTTCAAAATTCATTCTGATTATCAACAATCCTTTACTTTATTATAGACCTATTTTTTATAATAACCATTTTTTTTCTCTATACTCTTCTAAAATCTCTTTTAAATTTTTAGATTGTTGGTTTACTTTAAACAACAAACAATTTAAATAAACAAAACTACTTATTTCTGAATCTTCTTAACTAATTTAAATCACTAAAATCAAACATATTACTGACTTACATGCTCACTATATTATTAATACAGTGATTATTCCTACTCTTAAATACTGACTTCAAAATATTGTAATTAATCAATCAACTTGTAACAAAATTTTTACTTAGCATATTGGCCTTGTCAAACTTAAAGCCAAACCT